GGAGCCCATGACTTTCCAAGTAAATACCATGAGGGGCCCATGACACATATGTGTAGGACCTTGGGGGAGCCAACGACATCCTGTAGTAAGACCCTGGGTGGAGCCCACAACATCCTTATATGTTTATATGCATGGTTTATGTGATTGAGATGGCTTATATGAATGATATGGCTTATGTGATTAATATGGGTTATGTGATTGATATGGTTTATGCGGTTATGTGGATTATGTTGGTTATGTAGGGTATGCTCTGGGGAACTCACTAAGCTTTGTGTTGAAAGTTCTATTTATGGTTTCAGGTATCACCGGTTTTCAAATGGAAGGGCTCGGGATGATCGCAATGCACACACTCATGTTTTCCGTATTACGTGATTTTGGGATGTAACTCTTATAACTGTTTTAATTAAACCATGTTTTTGAATGACTTGAAATATGTAATACTTGTGTTGATTATATTGAAAAAAAGAAATTTTTATCCTAGATTTTTGGGTTGTTACATAACACAAATATATCATATCTCCAAAACAATTTATCCCATATCGTCGATTACTACGTACTGATCCTATACAAAGATCTTACAAGATCTAGCCTAAAGGATTAATATGAACAACAAACTGACGATGCTACTTCGGAAATTCCCTGGCAGCAAACTATGATCAATGAATACATCAAATAAAGGGAATGGAATATGTTTCACCACGGACATTCGTTCGTAAAAACCACAAGACAATTAAGTCGGGGGTGATTATCTAGATAATTGTGCCTAGCATTGGTCTGACACCGTGAGGTATTTTACCCCCATACTCACCAATCTGACAATATAACATCAGACCTACCTAGTAGTGGTCTATAACCGATACACTCTATTAGGCAGTCTATGAAGTTCCCTAAATTACTGCGTGAAAGGAAACGCTGATACACAAAGCTCATCAAAGGAAAAAGTATGGGGACATACTAATAAAGTACTCCTGTACACTCTCATACTCTAATATATAATAATGTCAAAAAGGACTTTGTACATGATAGTACTTTTGGAATATTATTGTACCCTGGTATGAGTAGGACTCGTACCCGAAAACATAATAATACACCGACACAAGCAATACCTGACATACAAATCTTTGAAAAGGACTTGGTACACAGAAAGTACTTTTGTATGTAGGACATACTCCGTCGATCATCAATCTCCTTGAACAAAGTTTCTACTCTCTATTATGATGACACACGTACCTTTAATAAGATGCTACCTAATATCCAAACTTAATTGAACTAAACATCTATTTTAAGTCTTATTTCATCACTAGGAAAGCCTACAATGCTTATAATCAACTTTTAATACCAATTCTGTTTTGACGACACGATCCTAATTTAGTGTAATATTTTATATAGAGTATTAAGTATTAACATACATTTATCTTCTCATTTATAATAGTTCTATTATTATTATCATGTAAATACATCTTAACACATATAGAACCATGATTGGTTCACATAACGTATAATATCAAATAAACATATAACACATATTTCCAGATAATAAGCATATAACCCACATATAAACTTTCAACATATATTTAATACTTTTATTAAAATCATGTTCATGAAAGGGACTATGCACTCAAATGTTAAAATGATGACTCGAAATTCAGACAACGCTCCACTTCTAGCAATTGTATTTTCCTTTGACGAAACCAAATATCATTATCACTAAGTTTTAGTCTGATATTTATTGAGACTAATTATTAGTCTGGATTCATCATTAAATTAAAGTCTACTTCAAGATCTATCAAGTAAGGAACAAATAGGTATAATCATATCGGAGGTAGGGTCCGTTTGGTATATGAAGTATACTGTTTGGAAATCCCACTTTAAGCACCTCACTAAATCCTGTCTAGACATCATCCCCATAAGTAGATCAATCAGTATAATGACTTAGAATGATATATCTTGTTTATAGGTTCATAATAATGATAATGAACTTAAACATAAGTTATACTTAAAGTACGCTAAGTGTAACTCACTTACATAGGGTTTAGCTAGGAACCGGGTTCTACAGGGACAAAACTTCTAAGCCCAAAGATCCACTCCTCGGGGCTTTCCGGCACTCAGGGGCTTCACTACTAATACCTAAGAAGTGCTAGAGAGGCTTTGGGGGTGCTTGGGAGAGAATTGGATGAGAAGGTTTGAAGAAAAGAGTGATTTTCGAGCTCTATTTATAGGTTGTCCAAGGTATCTTCACATCGTGACACTTTACCTTCGTGTCGTGAGCTAGCGTAGGCACCAAGGCTTCGCTTGGTACTGACACGTGGCGCAGGGCGCAAGTAAAACAACAATTCTTAAAAAATTCATAACTTTCGCATACGAGCTCCATTTTCGACGTTCTTTATATCCACACTTAGGTATTGAAAAAATCTACAACTTTCTTTTAGACTCCATCGGCTAATTTTGATATTATTTTTAAAGTTATATTTTAACTGGCTTATACAGTTAAAGTCCGTTAAAAATTCATAACTTTGTCATCCGATGTCCGCTTTCGAATATTTTTATATCATTGAGTTGCTATTAATGAGATCTTCAATTCTCATTTAGGTTGCATTGGCTAAAAACTAATCAATCTAAAGTTCGATACCCAGGTTGTGTACTGCTATGCCGAATCTTAAAAATTCATAACTTCTTCTATCGAATTCAGATTTGGACGTTCTCTGTATGCACGTTCTCGGTTTAATGTCTAATACAATTTTTTTAGATTGTTATGAAAAAAAGGTATTTTGTCAAAAATTTACTTTTTACGATACACGAAGTTATGTCTGTTTAATCGCGCAACTTTGACGGGTCATAACTTCTTCGTTATAAGTCGGATTTTAGCATTCTTTATATGTACGAAATCCTTGTGACATATACTATAAATTTGGTTAAGATTATTTATTATAAATAATCTTCTATCACAAAGTTATTTTTAACGCTTATTATCTCTAAATTGACTAGTCCAAATCTACGGACGTTACACCGGACACCACCACAAGTCCAATCTGCCTTGGAAAGTCCAAAAAAACCCACCCTTTATATATATATATATATATATATATATATATATATATATATATCTTTCTCTCTTTTTATCTCCCCTCATCTCTCTCTCTCTCTCTCTCTCTCGCTTTCTCTCTTCGGCAGTCCAAGGGTACCATCAGCAGTCCACAACAAGATACACGTATGACGACTCCGTTACCCTAACTCTGACAGCGAGAACATGACCAATGGTTTCAAATCAGGGCATAAGGATGTCAATGATGTCAATGATCCAGTTGCAAAGTGTAGATCCGATGATTTCGGTGAAGGTAGAAATAATGTTGTAGCCTTCCCCCTTCGTCGCCACCTGCATCGCCTGCCACCATCTGACAAACCTCCGTCCAAGCGTCGGCCTGAATCTCCTACAATCTCCACCTTCATACAATCACCACCTTCATCTGCATCCTTCTCTGTCGAGTTGTCATTACTTGTAGATCCCCTAGTCTCACCAACTTTCTATATCGACGTCGAGCTAGCACTCTAAAGTTGTCGATCTGCATCGTCGATCTACATCATCAAACATCGGCTCCATCACTACCATCGATCTATAGCATCACCGCCATGTATATGTCATTGTGTGTCCCTACCAGACTTTCGTCTTCGCATCTACACGCACGAACATAAACACACTCTATTTTCTTGGATTTGTAGTTTGAATTTTTGGTTTGAGTGTTTCGATTTTATTATTGGTTTGAATGGTTTTGAAGAGTGTTTTTTCTGGTGAAGAAGGTGGTGATGCTTTACTTTGGTGGTAGAGGTTATGCTTTTCCAATTGATTTAAAAGGAGTGGGTGGTTTTCGGCGATAATGGTTTGGATAGGGAGAGAGAGGACATAGATGCATGTGGTGGTTGGGCCTGACTTTTAATTTTTATTTTTTACGTAATTTATATATTATAATAATTAAAAAAATTGGAAAAAGCATATGAATATAAAAATTTTATTCTAAAATTACATATTTTTGACAACCATCGGGATAGTTTTTCAATTTTGTCTTAAAAAGGTTAGAAATATGCTTCTACTTTTTGTTCCTACTATTTTCCTACCTATTTTAGATAGTGATAAATATCATTCAATTTAATTTAAATTTGATTGAGATGTTAAACTTATACATTTGTCATCATCTTAAACATATAAGAAATAAGAAAGAAAATATAAACAAAAGTAGGAGGATATCTAATTTCTCATTTACTTTTAGCGGATGAATATTCGATGAATATTCGTTGAACTTTATAATTTAACTAGGTGTCCAACAGCCCAAAACAGCGGCGACAATTATTACTTTTTCGACGAATGATTTTTTTTTCCAGAAAATGACATCTAACTGTTTCGATGGCTATAAATTTTGTGGTTTATATGTTAGAAAATTTTCATGTGCTAACCTTTGGACAAAAATCATACATACATTAAAAAAGAAACAAAATTTAAATGATGTTCTTTCTTTATATATTTTTGTTGATTATCATAATTAGTTTTTATTCATAAAAAGATGTGTGGTTTTTACATAACACATTTGTATATTAAATTATCACTATATACCTCTTAAATTTCCAAGAAAAATTCAATATTTTACTAATTTATAATTTAGTTAAGAAGTTCACATAGTTAAGTTTAAGATATAAAAACTTAAAGTATCTCTTTGATCTTAATCACAAGTATCAAAGGGGACGATCACACCAAACAATCCCTTCATGTCGTCGTCACCATGATGCCAGATGCCTACAACTTAATGTTGAAGCTACCTCAAGAATCGAATCTTGTCTGTAAGTGGAACTTTAAAAGTATATCAGAATCTCCAGTTGGCTAAAATCATCCACAAAAATCGAATATTTTTTAAAGCTTTTTGTAGCTTAGAAACTAAGTCAAAGACTCCTAATTTCACACGTGAAACCTTATCTCTATAAAATCTCCATGCGAACCCACCTTCTGTATTTCAATGGCGTACTTGAAGAAGATCAAGAGCCTTATTGGTGCTAAAAAGGTCCTAAGACTACTCGGCACCAAGCTCCGCCTCCACAAGCTCCAAACATCCAAAACCAAACACCGGAAAATCAAGAAACGCAGCACCACGAAAGGCGGCAGTGGTTGCCTCTCTTTATCGTTTCAGTCTCGATTCAAACGGAAAAGGAAGGAGGTTCATAGATATCCCTGGAAGAAAACGAAGACAGTTTATGTTGACCAGTTGTTTTTAGAGAAGAAGGAGGTGGGGATTCCGGTGGTTGAGGGAATAACCGTTAACACGGCGGAGGGGACGAGCGACAAGTGTGGCGGAGGCTTGGCGGATGAGATGTGGGAGTCGTTGGTGATGGGGTCGCCTCAAATGGATGGGATTAATGAGAGGGCGGAGGAGTTTATTTCTAGGTTCCGAGCCGATCTTTTAGTTCAGGAAATAACCGCTCGGAGATTGTAGCCATTTGAGTTTGTTGGTTTTTTTCCATTATGTGTTTTTAAGGTTTGTAAGCTTATTGTAGAGACAACCTAACGATGTATATATATGTCGATATGTCTTTCAGTAAATTGGGCTCAAATTCGTCTTTAAAAGTTGCTATATGTTTACTATGGTGAAAGTGGTGCAGTTTGTTGTTGTTAATAGCCAAAACCGAACTGCAAACATAAATACGGTTATTTTATTTACGAAGCAGACTGGTGCGATTATTTTTGAATTTCGATTATTCTGTTATTTTATTTTGTTATTATTATTATTTTTTTTTTGTTAAAGTTCCATTTTTAACATCATGGATGTTGGATTTTATGTGGTTCGATCCAAACCCAAAAACTTTTAAACATGGCCAATAGAAACATATGAGCATTAGCCCAACAGAGCTGTTGGATGTTGGATGTTGGATGTTGGCCAATAAAAACTTTTAAACTTTTAACATCATGGATGTTGGATGTTGGATTTTTGTGTTATAGGCTTAAAACAAAAACCCACAAGCCTATAAAGGTAGGCTACCAAGCAAACGCCCAAGTTTCTACCTTGCCTCTCAAACCCTTTTATATAAGATGGTCTTATCTCTTTTCTTTCTATAAGCCCGTCTTCGTCGTCGCCATTGGGAGTTGGGACAACCAAATGTCAATCAATGAAGCAGACGATTAAGTTTATTTCTGTAATATGTTATAAGTAGAAACCATGGATAAAAAAAGAAAAACAATATAGATAATTTTAAATCGTAATGAATAATCAAATATTTGTAAAATAAACTGTAACCTAATAAATGTCTTGTTCTCGTAACGAAAAAACTCTAATAGGTGGCTTTGTTTTCTTCAAAACATAAACTTTCATTTAACATTTATGATTAATTAAGTATATAAATGTTTTATATGTAAACGTGATAACATTTCATTTAATTCTAATTTGTTATGTCATTTGATACATCTTTATCTTTATCTTTACTATATTATTAAACATATTATCTTTTTCTTGAAAATTAAGAGGTATAACATGTATTACATCAGGTGCAATACTATTAAACATATACATACGTATTACATTACACAGGATACGTAATACACTACACGAGACCTTACCCTAATCTCCTAAACACAGCCGCCTCAAACCCATTCTCATCGTCTCCGCCAAAGATGCAGAGATCTCCACCAACGTCTCCCACCGAAGACCGAAGGTCCGTGGCTGCCGACCTCCCCAGCCGAAGATGTCCCTCTCTTTCTTTCTCTCTCTCTCTCTCTCTCTCTCTCTCTCTCTCTCTCGATCGCCTCTCTTTCTCTCTCTCGATCGCCATCAGAATGAAATAGAAACCCTAATTTAAAATTATCGATGACCTTGGACTCTCCAGCGAGGAATCCAACGTCGGTGTCTCCGCCCTTGCCCAACACCTTTATCAGTTCGAAATCACTTCCCAGGTACTTACTACCTTCACTCTCACACCAACTTCCCCTTTTTCGATAATAATTCACTACCGATTGTTTCTGAAAAAATCTCGAACAAAATCGATTTACATGGTTAAGAAAACAGTTCACTTTGTTTCTGCAGAGAGTCGCTGATTACGAACGTTCGCGGGTTGGCGTTCGCAATACACCAATTTTGACTTTTTTTTTCTGGTTGACTCGCAGGAACACCTGCTCAAATCATCCCGATTTCAATCTTTCCCAGGTAAGGTCTTTCACAGTATTTCAATTTTGACCTTTTGTTTGACTGGCAATCGCAAACATATGTTCATAATACTCCGATCAACCTCAATCATTCCAAACACAGGCTTGAATCCGATTGCAAAAATATGTTACGATTCTAATTAGGTTCCACTCCGATTTGCAAAAATATGTTACGATTTTGACTTCCACCATATTTTTGCCCTCGCTCCCGTTCTATGGTGTAATCTGTAGTATTTTCTATGCCATGTACATAACCGGATGGATTGAAATTGCATTTATGATCATTGTTTACTGTGTAGGCAAGTTGTTTGATGAAATATCTAAAAAAAATTAATTCACTTCTATGGGATTTTTTTGAACTTGTATGTTAAGTTCCAGTCAACTGTGGTCCGGTTAGAAGATAGAATATGTTTTATAAATATTCGGTTCCATTTTTTTCATTTTAACAGTCCAAGTAGGGCGTAGAACAGGAAACAAAGGTGGGGTGATTTCTTGTTCCTTTAATTGAATAGTAGAATAGTGTATTGTTTGGGAATCGCCCTCTACTCATTACTCTGTTTTTTAATTTGATAACATAAATGATATGAGGAATACATGTCTTCTTTTCATGGCTTTCATGGTTTTCAAATGAAAAGTTATCCAATTTGTCACAAACATTTTCTGTTCATAGTAGTTGTTATAATGCTTAATCAGATCTATATTTCTTTTCAAGAACTTTGAAGTGTGGATTTTTATTTTAAACGTATCCCATCTAACATACAAAGTCAAAATCTGTTTGTTGACTTTGATAGAGTTGAAAGAATGGCCTTCAGAGTGGTTGCTAGGAAATTATTGAGGAGCAAGCTGTTATCCATGTTCACTCCTGCTTCTACATTCATTTTCATGCCACTAGCTTTGGTTAATCAACCTTGCTTTCCTGTTTCTTTATTTATAATTTCTGATTAATCTATTATTTTTATAATGAATTGATAAACCCCTGTATTCGTGTCTTCATACATTGCAGGATTTAAAGAAGTAAATGAAGAATCATGAATGATTTGATGAGTGGTGGATTGCATAGGTTGTGGAAAGATAGGTAAATAGTAACATTTTTTACTTTTTTTTAAACATTCCCTCATTTGCATATTAGTTTTTTTTTTAATGTTTGCATAATTTTCAGACTGGTTTCAAAAGTGAGCCCATTTCCTGGGATGAAGCATCTTGATGTAGCTGGTGGGACAGGTTAGTTTGTCTCTTTGCATTTCTTTTTTGGCATCACTTCATGACCGAAGGGTAAACAGTTGTTTTCTTATAGTCAGAAGGTTCATACAACACATACAGGGATCATTTATCTATTAACCACTTTATCTATTCTACACATCACTTAATGGAAACAAAAAGACAAAAACGCCCTAAGATTACAAGAAATATAATATTTCTTTTTACATACAGGTGATGTTGCTTTTAGGATTCTAGAAACAATCAATAGTGTTAATCGCAGAGCCATAGAAGACACACTTGAAGATGATTTGCAGAGAGAAACTTAGATTTATGTTTGTGATATCAATCCAAATATGTTGGAAGTTGGTAAAAAACGAGCCTAACAAAGAGGTAACTAACTCTTATTTAAGTGGTAAAACTGTAATTTTATCACCCATAAAGGCAATTTTAATTTTTTATTACCTAATTTATGTAGGGCTTAGAGAACAGGGGACCTGATATGGGTTGAGGGAGATGCAGAAAAACTCAATTTTGAAGATGATTCAATGGATGGTTGCACTATTGCTTTTGGTATTAGAAATGTTACACACATAAAAAGTTATTGCTGAAGCATACTGGTACTTTTTAAATTTCTTTTATAAACAAAACACACTTAGGAAAAAGTTTATAAATATTTATTATTTAATCAAGGTACTCAAGAAAGGAGGGAGATTCCTTTGTCTTGAACTCGACCATGTTGAAGCTCTAGTTTTCAAGCAGTTGTTAGTATTCTTTGAACTTGTACTTAATAGTTTATTATAACATTATTTGTTTTTTTTTTTTATTATTAATTGTGTTTGTTTTTTTTACAGGTATGATTACTATTCATTTTTGGTTATTCCAGTTGTAGGAGAGTTAGTTGCAGGAGATCGTGATAGCTACCCCCGCCGGTATACCCTCGCCAGTTGTATGATTACCTGTGTATTTTTCGTCACCGTCGGTATACCCCTGCAAACATGAGCCGCCATAGCTACTTCAAAATCGTTGCAACTAGCCCAACATGCACAATCTGCGCATAAACTTCACCATTTTCCCTCTCTCTATTCCTTCATCCGTGTCTCACTGTATGTACACACAGGCACAACGGAAACCCACACACAATTTCCTTTTTCCTACAACCACCACTCATGCGTTTCTGCTATACCGACTGCCTTCATCCACCCATCGCCAGGTTAACCCGCTGCTACCAATCACCCTTTTTTTCTCCGTTTATGCCCACTTTTGATTTTTCTGATTTTGTTTAGTGCATTGGATCGATGGCTAAGTTGACCACTACAAAACGAAGGAATGCTCTTTGATTGTAAATGTCCATTAAACTACACACAAACATGTTTATGTTTCCTTATCGCAGACTTACCAGGTAAGAAAGCTAATTTATTCCCCAAAATTATTTCCATTTTTATTGATTCTATATGTTTTTGGATGTATTGATTATTTTTTTTTTCTCCAGGCATATTTTCCAATATTAACCCTTCTTAAACTGACACTGAAGTTTCAACTTAACATACATCTCTTCATCTCATTTCCTTCGGTGATAGCAATGAAGAAATTTATGGTGCCTATTGCCTTGATCTTCTAGGATACCATGTTATATTTGGCTAGGGTTCCAATAAAGATACACTACTTTATTTGGTAGGAATATCCATGTTTATTGATGACTACAACTAAAAAGGAATTCTATATTACAATATATAGACTAGAAATTGAAGCGAACTTTGGAAAATGGCAAATTGCAAGACACGTACATGGAAAGTAAATACAATCTGAATATATGCAAATAACCTTTTTTTGTTTACAGGTACTTCAAATGAAGATTTTTTATTTTCTTGATTCCTTTGTTCCTTTTGTTGTAAGTTTATGATAGTTAAAACATTTTATAGTTATTATATTTTTTAAAAAATTACTATAATAATGATTTTAAGAGTTATTTATTTGGTTATAAACTTAGTGAATCATGTGCAGGTTGGGATATTGCAGAAACCAGTTGATAACAATATGAAATCATATAATAGCCTTGTTCATGTTGGTTTGGAAACAAATAAGGTATTAGAACTTGAAAGC